CCCCCCGCCCGGTGCCCCCGAGGCGACTGCTGGCGGGGGCGGGACGCGGCGCCGGTTCCGTCCCCCCAGCCGGGGGGGTGGTGTTGGGGGGAATGTGCATATGGGTGGGTGTGCAAGATCCCCGGAGGAAAAAGCCCCCAGCGGATCCTGCCCCAGCCCCCCGCCCCCCCGGGCATGGTACCGGGCAGGGGCACTCCGCCGCCCCCCCACCCGGAGCAGCTCCGGGCAGCCCCCTCTCCCGGCTCGGGGGGATCCAGCCCAGCACCGGGAAAAGGCAAAGCTGTGTGTTGTGCACACACAGGCGGCGTTGGTGGCGGCTTCCCCTCTTTTTAAATAAACACAGGCCCCGTCAGGGCTGGTTTGTATTGGGAACAGAGCACTTAGCGCCGCTCCAAGCTCTCCTTTCTCAATTGGCCTAAAAGCACCGCAGAAGAAAAGCCTCTCTTCTGGCTCTTTGGATGTTTCAACGATGGAAAGTACCTCCTTGAAGGCAGGATTGTGGGATTTAGCAACCAAAAGTCATACAGAAACAGTCGGCGTTAAGAGCCAAAGCTGCAGATTTGGGCTATCCTAACACAAACCCACTGCTGCTCAGCACGGCTTTTCAATCCCTGGGCAACGGTGTCCTGGGCTCTCGGACCCTCTGCTCCCTGCTCAGGCTGAAATCATCTTCATTGTCGTGTTCATGGGCACGGGCTTAAGGATGGGATGGCACTGGGGTGGGGGAATGGGACCAGGGATGGGTGGGATGGCCACAGCGTGGGCTGCAAGCCACCAGGGCAGTCTCGGTAAGGAACATTTGGCCGGGGGTTAGCGAGCGGCCAAAGGACACACTGTGAAAACAAGCCGAGACAGGAGGAGGTACAGCTGGGCTGCTGGCTTGTTTGGAGGGAGGACGGCGCCAGGGAGGGCTCTGCATTTGCTTCCCACTTCCTTAGGAGCTAGCAAGAGCCCTTTCGTCACCAGTACGGATCACGAGTGCTTGCAAGGGCTCAGGCACCAGTGGTTGTGCAGGGTGGGCAGAGGGTGGACCATGGGGAGCTGGGCTGGAACACCCGGCTTTGGAGCCACCAGAACCACCACAGCTCCATGCAAGGCTCAAACCCAATCCAAGCTGTCTGCCCAGAAGCCCTAATGCAAATTGGAGCCCACTGGGACAACTCCTCCCCTCCTCACCAGTGGCCAATTGCTCCTTTAATTGCGTTAGTTCACAGACTCTGCCTCAGCCTTTTTATAGTTTCACTGAGTGCAAGGGGAGTATGAGCTCATGCTCTGACCTTCTCTAATTGCCTGGTTAGCTCTGAAATGAGCCCAAGAACTTACTTTAGCTCATATGTCTTCTGAAAGGGGCTGGGCGAGGAGGGAGGCAGCATGGGGCTGACCAAGTCCCACACCAGCAGGTAGGATCCCTCTGTGGCACTGGTGACAGGATGGGAAGGACATGAAGCCAAGCCTGGTGGGACCCCACCACCTTGGCACTGTGGAGTACCTGAGGGCAGCAGCTCCCAGCCTGGGTCCTGGGGTGCTCTCACCAGCTGTGCTAAATTAGCCCACCCTGCAAATGCACCCAGCAAGGCTGGATCCAGCCCCACAAGCCTGTAGGACCCCAAAGTACCTTCCTGTGCCCTCCTGCTGCCCCGAGAGAGCAAGGCTTGGAGGTGGGAGTGGGGGTGCTGGGGACCAAGCCTGCCCAGCAAAAAGCAGAACTCCTGTGGGCCTCCTGGGTGCCCCTGGGGCCCCTGACCCCATGAGCTCACCCTCCTCTTCTGCTCCCTTTCTCCATGTCCTGTTTGTCCCAAGCAGCTGCTGGGACAGGCTGCATGTGGCCTCCTGCCCTGCCCCTCCGCCGGCACAGAGCCACCATTCAGATCCCCCAGGCTCTGCCCGAGGTCACCATTCCTGCATTTTTATTTTTACTTTTCTGCAAAATCATCCCCCTCGGTTCTCTGCGTCCCTTTTTGTGTCCCATGAGGCTCTCAGACCTTGTGTCACAAGCTGGCGTGCTGCAAGAGGAGCCTGGCTGTCTGGGGGTGATGGCAGCCCTCAGCGGGTGGAGAAGAGGCCCTGGCTGCAGTGCTGGTCCCTGGGGGGACCCCTGGGATGTCACCGGGATGCTGGGGTGGAGGGAGGGTGAGGGCTGGGCTCCTGCTGGGAGCCTCGTCACTTGTGGCCATGTCCCTGCACCCAGGGTCCTTGTCTGCCAAGCGCAGCTGCTCGCCGTGCCCCACAGAGCTCCTGCTTATTTGGCTTTTGGGTCCCCGGGTGTTCCCGGTCGCCTGTTTTTGATGGAGCGGTCAGGGCTGGCGTCAGCAGTGACCCCGTGCTGGTGGAGCTTCCTCCCAGCTCCAGAAACAGCTGGGGCCGAGTCACACTGATCCTGCAGCTGGGAAAACAACAGCAGAGGAGCCCCTGTGCATCCCCCGGCTGTGTTTTCAGATGCTGCTGGATTAAAGGTTGTTGGGGTTTTGCAGGTGACAGTGGGTAGTGTCGGGCTGGCAGTGATCCCACACACGTGGGAGCGGAGAGGAGCTGCAGCTCCTCCGCATCTCGGTGCTGACAGCATTTCACCGACATCTGGGGGAAGTCCCTGCAAGTCTGGGGAAAACCATGGCAGCCATGCCTGGTCAGAGCCCTGTTCTGTTGGTGGCAGTGAACTTGACCTGGCTGGAAGTGGAGAAAAGGGGGTTCCGTTTCTGGCTGCGGATTTCTCTTTTCCGATTCACCGCCACCGCCAAAACCAGCTGGGTTGCTCTCGCTTTTCTTGCTAAGTCCCCGGGTTTTCCCCTGCGTTTCCCCAGCAGGGTGTTTGCCAGCCACAGCTCTGCCCCACGGCTCCAAGTAGGAGCCAAACCAGCAGCAGCGATGCCTCTGGCACCAGCACGTGCTGCCCGGGGCCCTGGGGAATTCCCGAGGTGGTTGTGGCACTGTGGGAAGCAGATGTGGCCGGATTTCCTTGCAGAAGGCAAAACGTGTCCGGCTGCCCTTGCTTGAAGCCCAGGGATCAATAACGCCTGCCGCGCTGCCCTGCATCTGCCAAGGGGACAGTTGGGGTGCAGCCAGCCTTTGCTGGGTGCTCGCTCAGGAAGGGGCTCGGTGTGGTAATAAGCCTGGTGGATCCAAATAGATGGGGCCGTATTTCCTTGCAGAAGGTAAATATATCCAGCTCGTAACCCAAGGATCAATAACGCCTGCCGCGCTGCCCTGCATCTGCCAAGGGGACAGTTGGGGTGCAGCCAGCCTTTGCTGGGTGCTCGCTCAGGAAGGGGCTCGGTGTGGTAATAAGCCTGGTGGATCCAAATAGATGGGGCCGTATTTCCTTGCAGAAGGTAAATATATCCAGCTCGTAACCCAAGGATCAATAACGCCTGCCGCGCTGCCCTGCATCTGCCAAGGGCAGTCCTGGGGACAGCTGGGGTGCAGCCAGCCCTCGCGGGGTGCTCACCCGGGAAGGGGCTCAGCGTGGCTGGGAGCCAAATGGGGCGGCAGCAGCGATGCCTCTGGCACCAGCACGTGCTGCCCGGGGCCCTGGGGAATTCCCGAGGTGTTTGTGGCACTGTGGCAAACAAATGTGGCCGGATTTTCTTGCAGAAGGCAAACGTGTCCGGCTGTCCTTGCTTGAAGCCCATGGGGTGCTCACCCAGGAAGGGGCTCAGCGTGGCCGGGAGCCAAATGGGGCGGCAGCAGCGATGCCTCTGGCACCAGCACGTGCTGCCCGGGGCCCTGGGGAATTCCCGAGGTGGTTGTGGCACTGTGGCAAACAAATGTGGCCGGATTTTCTTGCAGAAGGCAAACGTGTCCGGCTGTCCTTGCTTGAAGCCCAGGGATCAATAACGCCTGCCGCGCTGCCCTGCATCTGCCAAGGGGCTGTCCTGGGGACAGCTGGGGTGCAGCCAGCCCTCGCTGGGTGCTCACCCGGGAAGGGGTTTGGTGTGGCAACAAGCCCAGCAGATCCAAGCTGATAGCTGCTGGGGATGCAGCAGAGCCACCGTTGAACCACCGAGGTTCCCCCCGGGGAGCCTGAGCATGCGATTGCAGAGTGGTTTGGACCATTGCAACACACAAGTGATGCAGTAAGAGCTGCGGACAGGAACAGGAACTGCCTGCACATGCTGAGGAGCGTGTGGGGTCAGAGAAAGCCCTGACACAGGGAGCCGGTGGTGGCCTGGGAACAGCTGAGAAGGTGTCCTGACCCGTAGCCCTGGGTAAAGGACAGCTGGCAGCACAGGAGATGGACCTCCTGGAGCTCCTTGCCTTCCCAGCCTCTTGGTTCCTCTCTGATGATGGCTGTTTCCCGCACATACAGCCCAGCAAACCTCAGCCCAGCTCCAGGAGCTTTGGGAGACCAGTCCTTCCCCAGCAGAGAAGCCTGTGAGGTGAAGCCTTTTCCCCTCCGAAGGGTCAGGTTAGGCAGGGCAGTTTTTCATGCTCGACTACCTGCTGTTGTGTGTTGCGGGAAGCACTACCAGGAACAGCCTGCGGTGTTGGGCCTTAGATGTGGTTTCAACCGTTTCTTGCCAAACACAGCAGAGTGGTCAGTTCGTGCCGTTTGAGGGGTTTTATCAGTTCAACTTTAAAATTTGCTCAAGCTCAGAAGGAAGACTTTCTGGTTTTGCTTCCTCTCTGTGCCGTTCCTTCTATAATTTTATTACTCCTCATGGAAGAGGTTCTGCTTCTTCAGTGCTCACCCTGAATGTCTTAAATATTGCTTTGAAACGGCCCTGCTGAGATATGGTGTCGTGGATGTGTGGGTTTGGGGAGCTTCAGGCACTGGCAAGGTTGTGGCACTGCAGGGGCTGCAAGCGTGGATTTGGCCTTTTAACCTTCTCCTCTGTTCGTGGCTTCTTCTTTCTGGACAAAATGAGCTCTGCCATGGGCTCCTGGACGGGTTGTGGACGGCACTGGTGGGAGGATCACAGCCCATGGGTGGTGTCTGGGTGCCCACAGGACACAGCTTTTCCCTGAGCTGTTTGTCCCACACTGGCAGGCACCGTCAGCACCAGACCTGCTGGGTTGCTGTGTCCTTGTTTTCCTGCCCTGTGTCCGAGAGCAGACAATGGCTTTGGTGCTGCCCTCCAAAGCTGTGGCCATGCATGCTGGTGTGGTGGGCATTTGCTGTGTGTCTGCCAGGCAGCCTGCACATGCCCACATCTGAAACTCAGGGGAAGAAAGGCAGAGTGGATCAGAAAGCCCCAGTCCCGCCAGCTCCAATCCTCCGTGTGTCAGGTTCCTCCAGCACAGACACCTGGGCTCCGCTCACCCTGTCCCTTGGGGTCTCCAGGGGTTGCAGCCCCACGGGGCACAGCCAAGGGGTTCTGTGATTCTGGAGCACTTCGATGAGGACAGGCTGAGAGAGTTGAGGTTGTTCAGCCTGGAGAAGAGAAGGCTCTGGGGAGACCTTAGAGCCCCTTCCAGTACCTAAAGAGGGCCTACAGGAGAGATAGAGGGGCACTTTTTATTAGGGAGTGTAGTGATAGGACGAGGGGGAACTGTTTTAAGCTGCAAGAGGGGAGATTTCAATTAGATATTAGAAAGAAATTCTTTACTGTGAGGACAGTGAGGCACTGGAACAGGTTGCCCAGGGAAGCTGTGGATGCCCCATCCCTGGAGGTGTTCAAGGCCAGGCTGGATGGGGCTTTGAGCAGCCTGGTCTGGTGGGAGGTGTCCCTGCCCAGGGCAGGGGGGTTGGAACTGGATGATCTTTAAGGTCCCTTCCAACCCAAACATTCTATGATTCTAAGGACTGTGCTTGAGCAATAGCTGCATTTCATAAGTGCCTGATTGAGGGATGTGTCCTCTGGCAAGCTGGACTTCCCTGGATCCAGCATGAGATCTGCCTGCATCAGCTGCAGTGGGTTTCCTGTGCCGGGTCCTGACGCTTCCCCAACGGGAAATGAAAGTAACTTAAATAATTTTGTCTTCCTTCACCTCTGTATGTGGGGCTGGGGGATGGACAGGACTTAGGAGGAAGCTCCAAGGAATCATAGAATGGGGCACCAACAGCTTCTCTGGGCAACCTGGGCCAGGGTCTCACCACCCTCACAAGGAAAGAATTTATTCCTAATACCTAATCTAAATCTCCCCTCTTTAGGTTTATAACCATTACCCATCATCTTATTGCCACAGTCCCTGATAGAGTATCCCCCATCTTTGCTGAGGGTGTGGGGGTCTCTGGGGTGTGCTCGCATGGACTTGAGGAACCATAACTTGGCTAAACCTGTGCCTGCAGCACGTCTGCTTCACCAAGCACCTGCCTCTGCTGCAGGCAGCGTAGAGCTGGAAACTGAGGTGTCACCTCCTTGTTTTCACTGACCCTTCCCTGTCTGCGAGGCGAGGCACTGTGTGTGCTGCTGGGGGCAGATGTGCTGTGACATGTGGCGAGCGCAGGTGCCAGCAGCGCTGAGGTGTGGGGCAGTGGCCGAGGAGGAAGCCCTGGGGCTGCAGGGGATGCCCCGTGTGGGCTGTGGCAGCTGTTCTGCACACCTTCCTCGCCTGCAGATCCTGTTTTGGCATGGATATAAAGGTGGTCTGGGCAGGGAGAGTCCAGCAGCAGCACCACAACTCCCAGCAGGATGGGAGCACAAAGCCTGGCAGTGGCTTGCGGGGCGCTGGCTTTGTGCCTGACACTTTGTGCCGGGGCCACCAACCCTGGCTTCATGGTGAGGATCACCCAGGCAGGCTTGGACTATGGTATGTTCAGCTTCTGTTTTCTCTCCTTGCAGGTGTGCTGGTGGCTGAGGTGTGGAGCCAGGCACTCATATGGAGTGTGTGGGGTCCTGGGGGGATCCTTGGCTGTGGGTGCTGAATGCACCATCACTTGGGCTTCCTGATGATACACCCGTCAGCCCCCTCCACCACCTTCATCGGGGCACTGCAAAGGGCCTGGCCCTCAGCGTCTCAGGGGAGTACGTCCCAGCAGTGTTGGGGGGAGGCACAGAGCTGGCAGGGCGAGAAGGTCCTGCTCTCATGGCTTGTTTCTGGGCAGCCGAGCTGTGAGCCCCTCAGAAGCGAGTGATGGAGGAGAGGGGAGGTGGGGAGCTGCAGGGGGGACAGTGATGGAGATGGATGGGCCCCGCGCTGGTTTTATTGAGGCAGGCAGAGTCCTGGCTCCAGCAGAGCCCTGTTATGGATTGAAATACGCTGTGTGAGAAACAGCTCATTTACCCAGCAGCCCTGCCAGCCGTGCGGGAGAGGAGGACGTGACTCCCCTTCCCACATGGCTGCCGGGATGCAGCACCCACTCGTGCTGTGCTGCTCCCTGGGATGTGGGCTCCATCCAGCTTTACCTGAGGTGCTGGCCATGGAGCAGCACAGTGCCCAGCATCTCCTGCACACCTTGCACAATGTCCAATCCAGAGATGAAGGACCGGACCTCTCCCCCCTTTCTATGCCTCCGGGCCACCACCTTCCCCTGGGGCTTGCAAGTGGGCAGCCCTCAGGCAGTTGCCAGTGTGCTCAGAGGTCTCTGTGCACTGAGAATAGCTTAAGGATAGCCTGGGAGGTGGAAAGCAGGCAGGGCATTGTCTGTATCTTTCCTGTAACCTTTTTGCTGTGCTGCTGGTGCACACTCCCAGCTCCTGTGGGAAGCGAGGGCTGGTGACACTCTCCCTCTTCCTCTGCAGCCCATCAGCTGGGGATCGCGATGCTGGAGAAGGAGCTGGCCAATGTGAAGCTGCCAGACTTCTCGGGTGACTCTCGCATTCAGCGTGTGGGGAAGGTGCACTATGAGCTCTCCAGGTGAGCCCTGCCATCACTCCAGGGTGGCTTACTGCCACCCCAACCCACACGAGGGGCAGGAGAGGTGGGGAAGGATGAGGAGCCCAGGAACAGTGAGGACCCACCTGTGCCCTCCACAGCTTCCAGGGTTGTTGGTCCTGTCCTTGGTGCAGGCAAAGACACTCCTGCTTTGTCACATTCCCAAAGGCACAGTTTTGCTCTGCATGTCTCTGCCAGGCATTGCTTTGCTGCTGTGGAATGGGAGCCAGGGAGGCTGCTGGCACAGTGGCACTGCTTCTCCATCTCCATGCGCCTGGGGGTGAGGCATACCCTCTCAAATCCTGTTTTGCTTATTTTTTTGTTATTTATTTTTAGATTGGACCTTCATAGTTTCCACTTGCCGTACTCAAGGATTTCTCTGGTGCCCAACGTGGGCCTGCAGGTCTCCATCACCAATGCCTTTGCCAAGGTGAAAGGGAACTGGCGGTGGAAGTTACGCTTCATGTAAGTGCCTCCCTTTTCCCCTCCCCATCAGGTGCTTTGCTCTGTGTCTGCCTCTCTAGGTCTGGACAGGTTTTTTCTCCTCTCCCTTGTGTCTGGGCAGATGTTGCTTTGCCCTCTCCAAATGTGCTGTCTTCTCTTTCCCATAGCCAGGTCTCCCTCCAGGCCAGGAGCCCTCAGAGATGGCCAGGAAGAGTTTATCCCACTTGCAAATGGGTGGGAAGACAACACGAAAGCCATCTTCCCTCTTGTAGCATCTGGGGTGTGAGGGATGGTCTTCCCTCTTGTTTGCACAGGGGGACACCTTCCTGAGTGCCCACAGGGACAGACCTGAGCTAGGACTGGGGGTGGGCAGAGGTTGCTGCCACTCATTCAACCACTGAGATTGATACAGCAGAGTGGGAGGCAAGAACAAGGTGGACAATGGAGGAGCTGTGCCTCAACTCTCCTGTCTCTCTCCCATCTCCCCTACTTCCTCTTGGTCCTCTCTATTCAAAGGGCACCTCTCCAGAAACCAGGAGTTTAAAAGCCTTCTCAGTCTCCTCTGGGTGAGAGAGGGAGAACCTGAGCTGATCCATCCCAAAATGGATCCATCCCAAAACTCTGGCTGATTCAGGGTCCCTTCATCATGATTCACCAGTAAGAAATGTCCCCTTCTTGTCCTCCTCCCCCTGCAGCCGAGACCACGGTTCATTTGATATCACGGTGGAGGATGTCAATATCAAAATCAACCTGAAACTGGGAAACGACGCCTCTGGGAAACCCACCATTGACACATCTTCTTGCAGCACCAACGTCTCCAAAGTCCGAGTACGCTTTTCGGGCAGGTTTGGGTACGTAACTACAGTGTGCATGCCTAGAATTGAGGTGTGTGGCCCATCTGTTGTGGGAAGGTGGCTTCCAGGCCCTGGTGCAAGGAATAAGGTGCTGGCATATCTGCAGTCCCTTGGAGGCTGCCCCTTCTGCCCATGGGCTGCCTGCACTGGCACACCACTCCCGAGCCCTCTCTGGACTCTTGCCTTATACTTCTCATCCAGATGTGTAACGAAATGAACTTAAATCTGGTCTGAATTTGTCCTGCTGTGGCTGCACGTTTAAGGCAGATTTAAGGCAGTTGATAGCCCTGTGTGCAGGTGGTTCACAAGCCGGTCTGTTTGCAACTGTAAACCCCGAGGCAAAGGTAGATGCCAAATGGGGATGGGAATGATGTTCCCAAAAGTGCTGCATCTCTAGTGTCTCCTTTTCCAGGGCAAATACTTCTGCAGCAGCCTCTGAGCTAAAGAAGGAATCCTCTCTGGTTTTTTTCCACAGATGGCTTTACAACCTCTTCCATGAACGTATTGGGTCCAAATTGCGGGAGATCTTGGAGAAAAAGGTACGTGAGCGTAGGAGGGTATAGGTCTGGGTTTTTCTAGAGGTGTTTAGCTCTCCCTTGTAGCTGAGGTGCTTTGAGCGTAAGATTAAACTAGAGCCAGAGTTTTGTGTTGTCAGCTTGGTGAAAGCTGGAGGAATGGCCATCACTACCTGCTGTCTGTGTAGCTTCGTGTGGCTCAGGCTGGATTTGAAACCTGCAGCCTTTGCCACAGCCCAGCATAACTGGTTCCTAGTTTACAAAGACTTCTCTTTCCATGTGGTCAGTTAATTAGATCTTGTGTCTTGGCCAAACTCACTGGAACAGAGGAAACCTGACCAGAGCTGCCCTTTCAAGGGCCACGCTGCCACGTGCTTTGGGAAGACCTGGGGGAGAAACTCTCCTTTCTGCATTTCAGACACTTCCCGTCTTGTTTGAATGGGGTGCATGAGGGAGCCCCCAGTACCGTGCACCTGGTACAAAAGGGGACGTGCAGGGGACCTGCAAGAAGACATGGAAACAAGCTGTTAGCAATAATTGCTACAAGGCTAACTGGCAGGAGTTGCAGCCTCCCTGGATGGAACCTTGCTCAGGAAGGAGGCAGTTGGAGAACAGGCAAATCCCACTCCCGCAGCAGATCCCATCCTGCCCGGGCGCTATTCCCGATGCCATGTAGTGGCTTTCCCAAGGCCCCTGGGAGCTGCGGCAGCAGATGGGCTGGCAGCAGGGCAAAGCTGGGGCTCAAAGGCCTTTTCTGCTTGTTTTTCCTCCTGGAAGGAGGTAGCTTTGGGACTTAGATGGGAGTTCTGCTGGCCTCTGCACCTCCTCCAAGCCTCCTTTGCCTCACAGACATTTCTCAGTGTCTTTCCACATGTGTGAGATGATGCGAGGGCTGATGGGCAGGACAGGGCAGAGCTGGTACCAGTATGTTCCCTAGTGTCCAAGGGCAGCCCGTGTCTGCCTCATGCTTTTGCTGCACACGCATGGGGAGTCCTTGTATCCCAGCCCCCAGGGATGAAAACTGGCTGGGCACAGGGAAGAGCAGCAACCCTCTGCCAATAAGGCCATGCCCAAGGCTCTTTCCCTCCTCTTCCTCCCTGGTGTTGCACAGCCACTCTGCATTTCACCATCAGTAGCTGCAGGCTGGATGTCTGGGGGAACAAAGGATGGCCTGATCTACCTGGCATTTTCTGTGCCGTTATGGGGAAAGCATTGGAAGACACCTTGTGCAGATTATCTCAGCCGTTTGCAGGACTGTGCCCTGCAGCAAATTTCCAGGGCTGTTATTTAGCCTGCAATTAAATCTCCCACTAATGCTGAGGATCCACAACCCATGGATGACAAGCAGGGCGATTTCCCTTCTGCCTTGGCAGCACGTTGCTGTAGGAAATAGTGAGCTCTACTTTGTGGATGCAATTACTGCTCCTGCACCTGCAGAGGTCTGTTGTCTCCTTCAGTTGCTCTGCTTCAGCCAAGACTTGGCCGCTTAGCACAATCCATTCTGTCCTGGGCCGTAGGAAAAGTCTGAGGGTACGTGAGATTGTTTCTAAGGGACTTCATGGAGTTGAAGTCTGGGTGGGGAGCTTGCTGCAAGCAGATGTTTGCAGGTATAAAAGTCTAGATGTGGCACTTAGGGACATGGTTTATTATTTAGCCTGCAATTAAATCTCCCACTAATGCTGAGGATCCACAACCCATGGATGACAAGCAGGGCGATTTCCCTTCTGCCTTGGCAGCACGTTGCTGTAGGAAATAGTGAGCTCTACTTTGTGGATGCAATTACTGCTCCTGCACCTGCAGAGGTCTGTTGTCTCCTTCAGTTGCTCTGCTTCAGCCAAGACTTGGCCGCTTAGCACAATCCATTCTGTCCTGGGCCGTAGGAAAAGTCTGAGGGTACGTGAGATTGTTTCTAAGGGACTTCATGGAGTTGAAGTCTGGGTGGGGAGCTTGCTGCAAGCAGATGTTTGCAGGTATAAAAGTCTAGATGTGGCACTTAGGGACATGGTTTAGTGGTGGATTTGGTAGTGTTAGGTTTACGGTTGGACTTGATGATCTTACAGGTCTTTTCCAACCTAAATGATTCTGTGATAAACCCTTCTTGTATCTTGGATGCTTAATTAATGTGTTGCCTGATGAGCAGAGGAAAACGTTGTTATGTGCTCTTTCATTTAAGCAGGCTTTTGAAAGGAAGAAAAATGGTACCAGGCAACAAAGCAAAGAGCATGGCTGAGGCTTTGACCTGGGGGATCAGGACTGGCCACCCCCAGCAGAGCTGCCCTTGCTCAGCTTTGCTGTGTTTCTTTCCCTCAGGTCTGTGAAATTGTGGCCAAATCTGTGCGCAGCAATCTCCAGCCATACATCCAGACCCTGCCAGGTACCAGATGGAAACTGCGTGAGGTTTTACGAGCTTTTCTTCCCTGCATTTCCCAGCCATGAGAGCAGGGTTTTACCTTGTGTCCACTCCCCATTTCCTGGTATTTCCACATCCAAGTTGGGAGCTGGGGAACACCACATCAGCTAAGACTTGTCACTGCGCACCCTTTCTGGCCGCAGAGACTGCTCATCTGCATGCAGCCTCCAAGGAGCTGTGCCCTGGAGGTGGCGGGGGCACAAGCTGACTTAGGACCTAGACTGTTCCTCATGTACAGGAGTCTGCATGGCTGAAAAACAGTCAGGAGGGAAATGTGATTTTTTTTTTTTTTTCTTTTTTTTTTCTTTTTTCTTTTCCCTTCTAAAGAGGAGAAAGCACACATGACACTGCCACTGACCTGTTGCACTGGGAAGCTGAGGCACAGCTCTTCCTGGATGTCAGCAGAGGTCATCTGCTTCTGGATTTCCTGTCCCACGTTGCTCTTGCTCATGCTTTTGCCCCTTGTTTTACAGTCACAGCCAAGATAGGCGCCATTGCTGGGGTTGATTACTCCTTGGTGGGACCTCCAACTGCTACTGCCCGGTCCCTGGATGTGCCAATGAAGGTGAGAGACTGTCCTGAGAAAGCTTGACTTGGCTGATGCCATCACTGCAGGCGAGTGGGGAACCAGGTTTAGGCACCTCCTGCAAATGCTGTTTGCCAGCCTGCATCAGTGGGTGAGTCCCACCACCCCCTGCTCTCCTGCTTCACCTCTCTCCATCTTCCCAGGGTGAATTCTTCTCTGTGGCCAACCGCTCCGCCGTCCCCTTCTCTCCACTGGCGCTGACCTTGCCCCCGGATCACGACCGCATGGTTTACTTTGGGGTCTCCAGCTATTTCTTCAACACAGCCAGCTTTGCCTACCACAAATCTGGAGCGCTGGTCTTTGAAGTCACAGGTTCCATGGTGAGCAGCGTAGGTGGGACAGGGGCTGTCCCTGTGCCTCTGGGCAGTGGGTTCCATTTGCCGAGCAACTCTGGCAGCTCCCCCAAAGAGCTGCTTGGAGACTGAGAGCTGGGGGCTGAGGGACGGGGCTGGGGCTGTCAGGCATGGCACGGGACAGGAGGGCTATTACCACAGGCTCAGCTGTGCTGCACGACCCCACTGTGCGACTGTCCTCCCTCCACAGATCTCAAAGGGTGCTAACTTCCACTTGGACACCACCACCTTCTCAGCCTTTATTCCCCAGGTGAGTGGTCCACCCTCCCTACGTGGAGCTCCTGCCATGCACAGCTGGGGGTTTGCTCTGTGCAAGGTGGTGTCTCCCATGGACAGCAGTTTGTGCCACTGTCCCTACCGTCTCCCTGTTCCTCTGCAGCTGGAAGAGATGTACCCAGACATGCAGATGAAGTTCAGGATCTTCGCTCCTTCCCCCCCATTCCTGAGCATCGGAGCAGGAGGTCTCTTGATTAAGCCTGTTCTGGATATCCAGGCTTACGCCATCCTTCCCAACTCCAGCCTGGCTCCTCTCTTCCTCCTCAGCATGGTGAGTTTGGGCACAGCCTGCAGTGGTGACTCCGGTTCTTGATGGGCAGCTCCTGATGCAGTCACAGCTCTGGCTGACGTGGTGTGGTTGGTGAGCTCTCCCTTGCATCTCAGTGTGGGAAAGATGGGAGTTTGAGCTGTGCAACATCCTCCTGCTGCATTCAGCAGTGCTGAGCCCTTGGTGCCAAGCTCCTGCCAGGAGAGGTGTCGAAAGCCATCCACAACCAGCCCAGTCCTAGTGCAGTGGGCATGTCCCCAGCAGAGACATATTCAAACTGACAGATGACTGAACATGCCACTGGTCAGACAGTGGTCCCACAGCATTTCACCTGGTCAGGATCCTTCTCCTGGGTGTCTGGTTTGGGGTGAGGTGGGGTGAGCACTGCTAGAACTCTGCGCTCTCTCCCCAGACAAGCAACGTGTCCGCTGTCATCAGCGTGAAATCTGGCCACATCATTGGGAACCTGAAGATGGGCAGGTAAGGAGGAGGAGCAGTACAGGTGTGGGTGGCTGGGTGGGTGCTTCTGTTCTAGGCTCCACGACACAGAGGTGAGCTGGGGAGGTCCTGAAGATGGGGACACAGTCAGAGGGCATGAGCCAGGGTGGAGGGAGTGGGAATCACATGGGCATTGACAGGCAGCTCTGGACTGGGAACGGGTGCCTCCATTAGGACAGCCTTTACAGCACCACTTCTGTCTCTGCATAGGGTGAAGCTTTCTCTGGAGCATTCAGATGTTGGCAGTTTCCAGGTGAGCTATGCTTGACCATTCCACTTTACCCCCCAATACGGGACATGAGGCTGCCTCCTGCCTCAGCCTGGGAGACTGGGAGAGGATGCAGAGCCAGCTGCCACTGCCTCTCTCATCCCTACACATCTGCCCTGCCAGCGTGGCCAGACAAAGCTGCTGGTCTCTGGTGAAGCATGTGCCCATCCCAGCTCCTCATCTCTGCTTATTTTCCTCATTATCCTCCAGTGCCTGGGTACTCACTCTCTTGGAGGCTAAAGCTCTTTTCCTTCTTCCCCTCTCAATTCCGCAGGTGGAAACACTGCAGTCCATAATACACTTTTTTGCTTCCAGTATCCTCGTCCCACGTATTAATGGTGAGTACCTGCTGGGGGGGGAATAGGGATGTTGGGGTAGTCACTGTGAAGCTTTTTCTGGAGCATTCAGATGTTGGCAGTTTCCAGGTGAGCTATGCTTGACCATTCCACTTTACCCCCCAATACGGGACATGAGGCTGCCTCCTGCCTCAGCCTGGGAGACTGGGAGAGGATGCAGAGCCAGCTGCCACTGCCTCTCTCATCCCTACACATCTGCCCTGCCAGCGTGGCCAGACAAAGCTGCTGGTCTCTGGTGAAGCATGTGCCCATCCCAGCTCCTCATCTCTGCTTATTTTCCTCATTATCCTCCAGTGCCTGGGTACCCACTCTCTTGGAGGCTAAAGCTCTTTTCCTTCTTCCCCTCTCAATTCCGCAGGTGGAAACACTGCAGTCCATAATACACTTTTTTGCTTCCAGTATCCTCGTCCCACGTATTAATGGTGAGTACCTGCTGGGGGGGGAATAGGGATGTTGGGGTAGTCACTGGCCAGGTCACTCCATCTCAACATAGCCAGCTTGATAATTAAAGCCCTCTCGCCAAGCCTCAACAGTGGATGAAGCCTGCAGCGAGCGCAGGAGACGGCAGTAAAAGCGCCCAGCCGTGGTGTGCGGGAGCCTCTTGGTGCTGTGACACGCAGCCAGCAGTGAACGCAATGGAAAAAAATGAGCACAACGCACATCCTAATGCTTTCCAGACCCTCTCCCCCACTCCCTGCTTCTCACAACTCCCCAGCACATGGGGCCAGAGCGGGGGGGTGGCACGTCCCAACATGCAGCCCCCAGCTCTTCTGTGGAGCTTGGGAGGAATTTCCTCTGCCTGCCCCTGGAGCGGTGCGGGCAAAGAAAGGGTTGGGAGGAGGAGATGGCCGTGTGCTTTGCACAGCCCGTGCTCTCTCTTGGTCCCATTGGTTCTCATCCCAATGTGGCCACGTGTGTTGTCTTTTCCAGACAGGTTAGGTCAAGGTTTCCCTCTGCCAATGCCAAAGGGAATACAGCTCTCCGATATCATCGTGCAGTTTCACCAGGTGAGTGTGGGGAGTGTGCTGAAGAGTTATTTCGAGGAATGGCTGGGAAATATCCTCTGAGCCCTTCCAGGGATAAAATTAGGCACAGGGGCTGGCAGAACCACAAGTGCCCATCCATTCTCCTTCCCCAAAATGTGGTGGGTGCCAGGAGCACAGCAGCCCACAACAGAAAGTGGATGCCAGGGCCTGTCACAGCCCCACTCTTTCTTTCTCTCTCCCAGAATCTACTACTGCTTGGAGCAGACATTCGCTATCAGCCCCGGGTATAGAGATAAGGTGACAAGAAGGACCCGGAACACCAATGATGCCCCCTTTGCCTCTTCCCTTCACCGGGCCCTACTCCTGGAGCTGAAAATCACTAGTTCTGCTGCAGCGTCCTTCACTGCCCACCTTGCCCTGGACCACAGCCAGGGACAGAAGCCTCCCCAGGTCCCCAACCCTGTGTCCCATCTGGGCCTCACCCAGTGCTACTGAGAGTTGGGGGTCTCTGACCCCCCAACCCCATCCTGTCCCCCTCCCCTCCCTCCTCTGGTTTGTCAGAGGCAGCTGGTGGCAATAAAGGTGGCCGGCGCTGGGGTCATGGCTGTGTTGGTGCTGTCACTGCGGTACTTTCCCTGGGCCCTTCACATTGGTCCTGAGGCCTGGTTGGGGGCGGCCATTGGCTGCCAGGAGCACCCCTCAGGGGAAGGCAGGCACGAGGCACTAGGGGCCATACTGCCCTGGGGGCAAGCGCTGCGGGTGGCGGAGCTCCTCCACTCAGCCCTGGGGCAGGAGAGGTCTGTGGGGCCGCTCTCCCCCCTCCATGGACAGCCTGGGGAGGCTGGGCTGGCAGGGCTAGCCATGCCCTGCGGCTGCAGACTTGCAGCAGGGCCAAGGCCAGCCATAAGGGCCTGTAGGGTCAGTGGTGCCTCCTCGCAGCCAGAGCCAGAGGGTCGCAGCAGCTTGTGTGGAGGAAAGGAGTAGTTTGGGTGCTTTTGGGGCTCTGAAAGGGATTTTGACGTTAGAAAAAGTCCAGCTTGTTGGCCACCTGCCCACTGATTGTCTACCCCCGCGATGAAGATGGGTTGGGGGAGCAGGTTGCAGCCCCACAGGGCTCGGCCATGGGCTGTGCTTGAGCAATAGCTGCATTTCATAAATGCCTGATTGAGGGGTGTGTCCTCTGGCAAGCTGGACTTCCCTGGATCCAGTATGAGACCCATCAGCTGGCATGGGTTTCCTGTACTGGGTCCTGATGGTTTCCCTAATGGGAAATGAAAGCAACTTAAATCACTTCTTCTTCCCTCACCTCCGCCCTGCAGCTTCTGGGCAACGTCCAGCCCTGCTCTCTGGGCTGGGGCTGTAGGGGTGATCCCCCCTTGCCCCTTCCTGGTGGCATCCAGCTTCCACACCCATCTCCAACCATCCTGAGCCCAAGAGCTGTGACACATCAGGGCTCCAGAAGTTTTGCCTTTGGGGCTTGTTCCCAGTGTGCTGCACATCTCCTCCTGTGCATGGCTGCTCTGTGACAGAGACCCGTGCCTGGAGCTGGAGGCACAAGGCACGTCCTTGATTTAGTCACTCCTGGTGCCCTGCTGTGGCTGCCCAGCCCAGGCCGATGCCCCTTCGCCTGGGTGTTGGGTGTATGGGGACTGCTCATGTGTACTGAGGAACCATAACTTGCTTCTTTAGCCCTTGCTGTGGCCAAGGCTGCTCTGGTTGCAACTGGTGTCTTTGGCAGGTGTGTGTTGTGATAGCAGCAGCTAATGCCCAGGAGGGCAGAGCAGCCTGAGACTGCTGTGGGACAGGGCAAGGGGCAGGAGGGCTGACAGATGGCTCAGGGACATTTTGGGCTGTCCCCAGCCTTTGGTCAGTGAAGGCAGAGGCAGAGCATGCAGTGAGAACATAGCACCATCGAACATGGCTGGCAGAGCCAAACCCTTGCCCACAGCAGGTCTGCTTCACCAAGCACCTGCCTCTGCTGCAGCCAGGGACTGCACCCAGCGCAGAGCTGGAACCTGAGCTGCTGCCTCCTGCTTTTCACTGTCCCTTCCCTGTCTGCGAGGTGAGGCACCATGTGTGCCACTGGGTGCAGATGTGCTGTGACATGCAGTGCCATGCCATAGGCACCAGTGCCCCCAGTGCAGAGAAGCGGTGCAGGAAGCTCTGAGGCTGTAGGGGACGTCCCATGTGGGCTACAGCAGCGGCTCTGCACGCCTCCCTCACCGCAGATCCTGTTTGGGCACAAATATAAGGGCGGTGTGGGCAGGGAGAGCCCGGCAGCAGTGCAGCACCGCAGTGCAGCCAGGATGGGAGCACAGAGCCTGGCAGTGGCTTGCGGGGTGCTGGCTTTGTGCCTGACACTCGCTGAGGCCACCAACCCCGGCTTCGTGGTGAGGATCACCGAGGCAGGCTTCAAGTATGGTATGTTCAGCTTCTGTTTTCTCTCCTTGCAGGTGTGCTGGTGGCTGAGGTGTGGAGCCAGGCACTCACATGGAGTGTGTGGGGTCCTGGGGGGATCCTTGGCTGCGGATGCTGAATGCACCATCACCTGGGCTTCCTGATGATACACCCGTCTGCCCCCTCCACCACCTTCATCGGGGCACTGCAAAGGGCCTGGCCCTCAGCGTCTCAGGGGAGTACGTCCCAGCAGTGTTGGGGGGAGGCACAGAGCTGGCAGGGCGAGAGGGTCCTGCTCTCATGGCTTGTTTCTGGGCAGCCGAGCTGTGAGCCCCTCAGAAGCGAGTGATGGAGGAGAGGGGAGGTGGGGAGCTGCAGGGGGGACAGTGATGGAGATGGATGGGCCCCGCGCTGGTTTTATTGAGGCAGGCAGAGTCCTGGCTCCAGCAGAGCCCTGTTATGGATTGAAATACGCTGTGTGAGAAACAGCTCATTTACCCAGCAGCCCTGCCAGCCGTGCGGGAGAGGAGGACGTGACTCCCCTTCCCACATGGCTGCCGGGATGCAGCACCCACTCGTGCTGTGCTGCTCCCTGGGATGTGGGCTCCATCCAGCTTTACCTGAGGTGCTAGCCATGGAGCAGCACAGTGCCCAGCATCTCCTGCACACCTTGCACAATGTCCAATCCAGAGATGAAGGACTGGGACCTCTCCCCCCTTTCTATGCCGCCTAGCCAC